AATAACATGGCCAAACTCTTTAAAAGCCACAATCTTAATCTGGAGATAAAAGTAAGGCTCCTACAATGTTATATCTTCTCAATATTGTATTACGGAGTTGAATCCTGGACACTAACTGAAGCAATGGAGAAAAAACTTGAAGCCTTCGAGATGTGGCTATACAGGCGAATTCTAAGCATATCATGGACAGACAAGATAACCAACGAGACCGTATTACGAAGAGTGGGCAAAGAAAGAGAGGTGATGTATACCATTAAAAGGAGAAAGTTGGAATATCTCGGACATATAATGAGAAACAGCACTAAATGCAGATTACTGAAGGTAATCCTACAGGGTAAAGTATTCGGAAAGCGAGGACTTGGGACAAGGAGAATATCATGGTTGAAGAACCTGAGGAAATGGTTCTCCACAACAACAACGAATTTATTTAAAGCAGCAGTTAATAAAATAATTATAGCCAGAATGATTGCCAATATTCGGAACGAATAGGCACTAAAAGAAGAAGAAGATACTCATAAAAGCCTCCCATTGATTATATACTTCTAATGTCTCAAAAACAGATACCCAGTCTACATTACCTAACATGAATTTAAAAAAAACGTTTATTCTTCTCGCTAAATATTCGTTTTTTTATTATATTTGACTCAAATTTTACCTTTTGAGAAGTATGATCAGATGTATGGGGATTGAATACAAGAGAATCAAATATGTCAAGATTTGTAAAAATATTATCTCTACAGCATTTTTTGTTACCTTGTATGCGTGTATAGTCTTTGATGGAAGGTTTAATATAAAAGGAGCTCAAAAACATTTTTAATGTGTCTGGCCACCTCGCACCCTCAAACAACATATCTAAGTTAAAATCACCAGCCAGAAAAATGATGAATTCCTGGTCAACTAAATCACAAAGTATTTGGTCTAATTTGTTTATTAAAACTTGTGGGTCTTCCGTTCGGTAGATGGATAGGATTACAATCTTCTTCTTATTAATTCGCACCTCTGCAGCGGAACACTCAAACACCGTTCTTTCGGATAAACTAGAAATATCTTCCGGGCTTTTGCAATAAACGTGTCTTTGATGTATACCGCACTGCCACCATCCTCCTGTGAACTGCTTCTACAATATGAAGAGATCAGTTTAAAATTCCGCACATGGTAGTCCCGCAGTTGTTCTTCTGTTTTCCAGTGCTCAGTTAAACAAAGAGCAAAGCATTCATCATGATCTTCTAGGATAAAATTAATGGCATCAATACTTAGTTTAATTGATTGCGTATTTAAATGGATTACTGAGGATAATTTCTTTTGGTGCGTGTCGTAGACTGTCATTTGACACTGGGGTGCCTCTGTACATTCTGAAAATGGTTAAAAATTACACCATTCGGCCATAATTCTTGCTGCATTAAATGAGGTATTTTTAGTTCTGGAACAGTAATTTTAAATGAACTTTTGTACTTATCTGTCCTTGTTTTCATTTTTTCGCAGATAACATTTTCATCCAGTTTTCTTTCTTTTAGATAGTTAAGTATTTCCTGAGCTTCCGTTATTGGATCGAAACCTGACAGGAAAATCGCCATATGTTTTGTGGTCACACGCAGGATACTTCCAGCATTCTCATTGGTTGCCTGGAGTGGATCTGGTCGTTCAGTAAGTGTTGGACGAGTTGTTTTGTAAAAACCTCTCCTTTTTTTGGTTTCAAGCGATATTTTTGAGAGAATGGTTTATTTCATACAAAAAGTGCCAATGAACATTTTTGTTCAAAATTGTCTCTACATTTTTTTGTTTGAAATATTTCTTACTACGTTCTATGCGACGCATAGATTCTTGGTAAATCTATTTTTTCCTATTTGTATCTACGAGTGGTGTGGTTTTAGGGAGATGTCAAGCTTTTTTTGACTATTCACGGTTTTACTGTTTTACTGAGAATTAACATTCTCAGAAAAATTCAGCTTGTTCTTATCATTTTTAGAGGTTCCGTGGTATTTTCGTCTCTGACGACTAGATTATAAATAAATTTTTTTATAACAAAACTAAAACATCTCTGGCATCCGAAATAAAACTTAATGATTTTTACTGAAGTTATCACCTATTTCTGCAAAAATCTGATTGCACCTCTCACATCCAAGTTTAATTGTTTTTTAAAGATCTGCCCTGGTCTACTTTAACCCCTTAACGTACGTGCCCGTCTCAGACACGGGCGCGCCTTACTGGTAATTTTGTACGCGCTCCGTCTGGGACACGGGCGCCGGTGAAATCTTATCCATCAAATTTTTCAAGCCCTTGCGAAGCGGATATTTGTCTAAAGAGACATAATATGTAAGCATAATTATATCTTAAGTATTTTTTTTATTATAAAATAGAAGACGCATATTATATATATATATATATATATATATATATATATATATATATATATATATATATATATATATATATATATATATATATATATACTCCATTCCACGAATGTACGACTGATTTAAATTCGGTTTAAGGTCTCTATTAGAATGGTCCAATGTGCTGAATTGTACAATAGTAAATTCTCCCTATTTTTAAAATACTGTTATGACTTAAAATTTAAATATGAAGTCATGATATTAATATAGAGTTGATAGTTTATAGAATAGTTATAATTCAGATTTTGAAGTATATAATTACTATCATTGATTTTAGCAATGTAAACAAGTTGGTTTTTGAATTAAGTGATTTAAACGAAGTGTAACAATACTTAGGTGATTAAATAGTGTAATTGATTTAGTCGAATATTCAATTAGTATTAAGAAACCAAAAAAAAACTTACTTATTTTCTTATTCTCCTAATCTCCTAAAACTATCATCAACCATCAGATTCACAGAACTTCGCCATAGGAAAGTACATTAAATATAAAGTTGTCTACATCTAAAACACGTCTCGGCGTTTTTGGCTTCAATAAACAAATACACTAAACTCTCTGTTAACGGCACCTCTCTTTACCGGACACCTCTATACGGACAGTTTTTAAAACTAAAATCAGTCATATGAAACTGTATATAAATGTTAGTTACTTTTTAATATCTGTAACGACTCGGTACTTCAACTATCAATGGCCGGTATGTTGTACCCGTTACTTTCGGAACTTTAGGTGTACATCCACTCAAATCAAACAAATATTTAAAACTAAAAAAGTGAAATTATAGATCTTTTTTCTAGTTTCCAAACCATCGTTCTGCCAATTTCTGTTCATTTATATTAAAAGTATACTTCTTTTTATTACAGTTTTAATACCTAATAAAGTAATATCAAAGAAACCCGGCACGCCTCTTTGGTGTTTACATTTCACAGAAACCTAACCCAAATGTCGTATGAACACATTTTGGCTTCATAGAACTGATTGTATTTATTTGTAGGACCGTTCGCGTAAAATTTTTTGTTATTTTCGCATTAAATTTCACAATAAATTTTGCATCTGAACATCTCATATATTAACTGAAATAATTTTAGTGTAAGTATCAAACTAACAGTAAATCCATTTCTTTTAGACCAATTTACTTTCATACTTCTACTTGCACAGTAAAATATTCGTTGTCGTAATAATTCAAAACAGTCGTATATTCGTGGAATAACCTATATATATATATATATATATATATATATATATATATATAAGTTATTCCATATATATATATATATATATTATATATATATATGGAATATATATATATATATATATATATATATATATATATATATATATATATATATATATATCTGTATGAAAACAAAAATAAATATTTCGCCTGACCCCCAGGAAAAGTAAAGGTTCTACCCCATTGAAAATATTTTTTTTATTCAATTATGATTAAAACAAAACATTTTTACTAAAAAAAATTTCGATTATTTTTTGACCATAACTTTGACCATAACTAAAATTAATGTGTACGTTAAGGGGTTAATATCTTTAAAACCACGTCATCTACTTCTACTTCCATCTGCTCTGTTCTATTGTCTTTGAAAAACTCATGGATGTATTCTGTCCATCTCCTTAATTTTTCCTTAGTATTCAACACGAGTTTCCCATTTGTATCTTTCAGTATTTCTTTTTCTATTGTTGAGAGTTAATTCTTTAATTTTTGTGTGTGTTTTAACACTATCATGTCTTTTCTGGTATTCTTCTATTTCTGCGTATTGTTCTTTTAACCATTCTTCTTTTTCTTGCTTATTTTTTATTTTATTTGTTTATCCACTTTTTATTCATCCGATTATCTTTGTTTTTATGTTCATGTCTTTCTTCCATTAAATCTAAAATTCCTCCGTTATCCATTGTTTCATTTTGGATCTGGTTGGTGTTAGAATTTTTTTTGACTTTATTTAGTTTATTATGTTCATTTTGAGCCTAATTTTGATCACTTTTGGTTTGTGAGCTGATCCTATGTTGGCACTCGGATATGTTTCGCTGATATAATTGCATTCCCGTATCTCTGTCTAACTAATACATAGTGTATTTGATTTCTTACAATTTTCGCTTCTTGATCTGCTGGTGGCTTCCATGTGTATAGACTTCTCTTTGGCAGTTTAAACAATGTATTCGCTATAACAAAATTATTTTTTTTTTGCAAAATTCGATAAGACTATCATCCCTTTCGTTTCTGTTTCCCATACCGTATCCTCCTCTACATTCCTCTGCTCATCTGTCGGATCTCTTTTTTCTTAGTGATCAATAGAGTGCTTGGTTATGATGATTAACTAGGGATGCCCTTCGGGCGTTTAATGCAATGGTTTCCCGTTGCATTGCACAGCACCCCAAAGCTGTTGGTCAGTAATTGAGGAATTGCTTATACCGGCAATTCCTCGGTCGTCGATTCACCACATAGATTATGTCAAATTGTATTAATAAACACAAAATTTTTTAACGAAATTATTCGATGGAGAGATGACCATATTCACAAAATTAACGGCCATGAGAAAATCTCACGTCTATCAGAGGAGTTTTTATATATTATATACAGAGTATATTTTTTGACAGGTATTATCCACCCGATAAGAACGTCCCAACCATGACTTTGATCGGCTCGCCGAATTTTGGAGAGCGATCAGTAAAACGAGACTTGGAAACTCAAGTGGCGATCGTTACCGAAAATCCAGAGCTAAGTAAAAATCTTGACAATGAATGTAGAAGACTTTATAAAGTTGGAATAGAAGCAGAAACCGATAGAAAAGTTCCTATTTGGGTCAATACGTTTGTAGTTTTCTTTAGAAGCTATTTTTAAAATATTTTTGTTTATTTATGGGTTTGTTATGTTCTAAATATAATTTATTGATGTTTTGTTTATAAAATACATTGATTTTTCAATTGAATGCCTGTTCTTTCTTTTATTCCTTATTAATGAATTTTCCTTTACTTTGTGAACACTTTATATACATATGCCTGGTACGCCTGTATTTTTCACTGACTATGTGCCTTAGCACTCGCTACGGCTATTATGTGTCACATACTTAAGCTGTTGATATATAGATACATAGTATGTTAAATACCCAGTCGGTTGTGGCCAGATATTAGAGTAGTTCCAGTTCCAGATACCGTAACAGTTTCAGTAGTTCTGTTCTCTTTATGAACGTAAGAAAGCTCTTTCACAGCACATAATTAGACAAGTATTGCAGCACAAGGTAACTTTTAGGGAGCAGTTTCAAAAAACGACCTTTTAAGTGTTTCTAGATAGCTACGCGAAGGTTCATTTAGTGTAACGCACTTACCACTCGTCTTGTGAGGGACAAGACTTTTTCTTCCCAGCGGTGTTCTACCACTGGCGCTGTGTGGGTCTGCCAGCACCATCGAGCAATAAGACAAAAGAGGGAATGTAAAGGTAGTGGGGGTAAACATATTGATAGACAGGAAGTGCCATCTTGAGAGGCCACTTTAGACAAGGATAGACAGTCTCTTTCCTTGTTTAATAAGTCAAATTTAGTTAGGTTATGTTATTGTTTGTCCCAACTGTCACATGAAATTTTATTTATATTGAAATCTTTTACCAATTGTGTCACTTTTTAGACTATTATAGTTAATATTTAATTAAAACTTTCTCGTCTGAAAAATATTTTATAGCTATTGTTAATAAGTGTTGGAAAATTTAAATTTAGCGCCTTTGCATTTCCGGATATGTCCGCCATCAGAGGCCACTTTTTTGGTCTCCTTTTCATAACGATTAGATTCCCTCTTTTATCTTTTTGCTCGATGGCCAGCACCCAGTAAGGTAAGAACAAAAGAATTCGTTCTTTATCTAAAAAAAAACGGGTAGGACTGCCGGTAGAAGTTATACTTCTATACACGCGTTCGCCGTTACAAATTTATATGGAAGTCAATCTGCACAATCATACTATAGGTAACTAGTCATAAGGCACTCTTACTATAAGTAAGAGAGAGCAGAAAGAGAAACATAATTAGGTATATATGGTGCATCGTTTGCTGTATATAAACAACATTTGACCTGTAATAGGAGTATAGTAAATGAAGGATTGAATCAATATTTTGATGAAAATGAATATTTTTATTTTCATACATGTATGAAAGGAGTTGAATGCAAAAAAAATGTTTACACATACTCTGCAGTAAAATTCATTGTTTATTTTGTTATTAATATAAAAATACAATAAAATACACTGCAACATAATTCAATATACAATACAAATTAAAATGCAATATTCATAAGTATTTAAAAATGACAATATGCAAACTTACTTCATATGTTTAGTTTACCATGATAATATTAATAAAAAAATAATAATAATATTAATAAATATTAAATATATTTACAAAAAGAACATTTTTATTCTCGAGAGAGAAAATATATCTTCTGTCCCTCTCTTACCTATATCTTACATAATATGTAATGATTTTGACGATTTACTCTCGTCGAATTTCTAACGTCGAACGCGCGTATAGAAGTATAACTTCAAAAACGAAATAAGTCCCACCCAAACAACTCTTTTCTGAACCTTAAAACTTGAATTACTAAATTTTTAGGTAACTGAACTAAGCCTCAGTTTTATTAATAGCGTATTTGCGCCATTTCGTAAGATACTTTTTGGTGGGATCATGGAGAAATTAATATATTATTTGAAAGCACTTGTATAAATCATTAGGTCCCTGGATTTTTTTATTCTTTGTGACACCGTTTCAAAATCCCCACTAAATTGTGAAAATCTTATTAAATTAACTATCGGTGAAAGAATAACTCTTTCTTCCCAGATGGATAACGTCACTAGTATTATATAAGATATGCCAAAAATCATAACTTAAAAATATGAAATTTATGTCCATACATTATAAAACATATACGTAAAAGAAATTTAAAGTAACAATCATTATATTTGTCCCTCTCATCTCTACGCTCATGACTACTTATGTACTATATTCAATGATAAATGAAATAGTTTGGAAAATTAAATAATGTATGAAATTAGCGAAACAATATTAAAAAATATATTATGATTTTTCCATTCTTTGATTTTTAAAACCAAAGTGACAAAAATCAGAACATAATTAAAAAAATATATTCCCTCATTGGGATCGAACTCGAGACTTCTCGTTCTAAATACCGCGCCTCAACTCATTCGACCAGTAAGTAATAAGGTGGCTAATCAATGTCATTATTTTTTCAATAACGTTATTTAAGATGTCAGTTTTTTTATTGTATTTTATGTTTATTAATTTATCGTATTCCAAAAATCGAAAGATTATTACGAATCATAGAAGTTCCAGGAAGAATATTTATTTGTAAAAGACTTTGGCCAAATGTATATATCTACGGAATTAATATAAAATAATAATAAATATTAAATATATTTACAAAAGGAACATTTTTATTCTCGAGAGCGAAAATATATCTTCTGTCTCTCTCTTACCTATATCTTACATAATGGTTTTGCCGATTCACTCCCGTACAAATTTCCAACGTCGAACGCGCGTATAGAAGCATAACTTCAAAAATGATTCTTCGCTCACGATGCTGAGATGGAGAATACATCATTTCGGTCAGCAAGTACTTCCTTCGTCCTGCAAAACTACTCGGAGGAGGACTTCCCGAACACAATGCAAACCCTATTCGAGTAGGACTAACGTAATACCTCGACACATTTGCGAAAGCAATGCAATACTCCGACTCTTTTAACTCCGGTAAATCCACAAGCTACCGAAAGGAGTTCCCCAAATTGCCAAGCATCGCTAAAAAAACTCCGACGAGGAAAGCAAAAAACCCTCCAAAAACGTCATAACGGTCCCGGAAAATTTCTAGGTCACAGACTTCCACTTTGCACTCCGCTCCTTCAACCAGTAAGGGCAAAAATATCCAAAAAGCGAGCAGTAACCTCTGCACCCAAAACTGCAGTACCCGTCTCTCCAAAACGCCCGCTACGATTCTTCTACAAGATCGTAGATATCCATGATGAATTCAGCACTTAAAGGAGCTTTTCTAATACACAGGAACTGCTCAATTGTTTACAAACACAACAAATTTTCATTATACATCTATAAATTTGATAAAATCACAACGTATAGGATGGTTAGGACAAATAGAAAGAATAAAATACGCAACGACACCAAAATTAATCTTGTAGCTAAAGTTAGTAGGTCAGAAGTTAAGGCGGAAACGTTACATATTGGAAGTAATAATTTGAAGTAAGGCCAAAGTGTAAAGGTATATCTAATTTAGGGAAGAATACAGAATATAAGAAAATTACTAGAAATTATAACTAAATATAGGGAATAATTGTCTCTTATGGTATAAAATTATATAAACGGTGATTTTTAAAATGTAAATTAGACATCAAATGCTACAAAGTGTAGCATTTTTAATTAACCCTGTATATCGAGGGAACCGAAAAAGATTCTTAATCTTTGGCGTTTCTAAGATTGATACTAAACATTTTGAAATCTGTTTATAATAAGCAAATTGCTCTTTCGTTTGCCCTCAGTTCCACCTATGCAGTGATGAGAGCTTTAAGATCCGGTAAAATAACATAAAAGATGGAAGACATTATGTTGTGAGATAGTACGAGATAAAGCTAGTTCTTATGCGTGGCTAGTTGAGTCCAGTCAACTATGACGTCGAAAAACATTTTATTTAAATTTCCCATGTTAGAACGAATGATTGAATAAATTAAGGCAGATGCTAGTAAGAAACACTCATCAGTAGCCATTTTAATTATAATTCAAGCTAATAATAAGAATAACTTAACTAAAATATTTTACTAAACTAAAAGTTACGTTCTTGTCGAAAACAACTATTGTGTGTGGAGTTAGTTAAATGGTTAGCGAGTAGACCTATTGACCAGCAGATTAGAATTACATTCCCACTAGAGATTCCCTTTTCTTGGACACAATTAAAAAATAATAGAAATTATGATTATATATTAGGTAAAGGTAAAAAGTTTTCGAAAAACTCATTATTTACAATTTATTCTCATTCCATTGTAACAAAACGGAAACTCAAATGCAATTCAAAATGTACGGATTTATTGTATTTCCGGTTCTACAGCCATCAGTTTTGAATGCAAAATAATCCGATGAATACATAATTTGATTTATAATTTAGTAATGATTTTAACATAAAAATAAATAAAATAAACCACATGTGGGATTCGAACCCTCAGCGTCTGCGTGAAAGTATGGTACTCTTACCACTAAATCACAAAGCTTCGATAACTCTGTAGTGGCAAGAGTGTATGCGACGTCTCGAATCATAGTAGAAATTATTCTTGATCAATAATTTAATTTTGGCTTTAAAAACTAATTAACCCTTTCAGTTCCACTTACATTAAAAAAAAGTACCCTCGTAGTAGATTTGTCCCTCCACAGGGACAATTTTTTTTATAATATTAAATAAATATTGTGTTTTTTGAGCGCCGAACAAACAATTTACCTTGCAATCGACAACCTTTCTAAAGTAATTAAAAGACTATGCACGCCTATGGGTAAAATTTAAACAATTTCAGGTTTGACATAAATCAGCGGTTTCGGGTAGATTTGCTGTGCTGTGAAAGTTATACATAAATAATAACATATAAGTCTGGCTGGTTTTTTGTCCAACAACAACTGTAACCTTGTGAATTTACCAGAATTAATTTTGCTATGCCTATCAATAGTTTTGCATTTAAAGATAGTGAGGTGTTTATAGAGGGGGTATTTTTTTATGTTCCTGTGCACTGCAGGGACAAAATAACTTTGTGCTTAAATAATGTTATTAGTGCAAATGCTTTTTATGAAGTTTTTAAATATTGTGCGTAATTTTTATTATTTGGACGTTTTGAATTAGATTAGTTACTTATGTTTTCTTTTTTATTTCAGGAAATGTGGAAAAACA